GCTCAATGTCAGTCCTGAGCTGCTGGTTGGAGAAATAGGGCTGTATGAGGGGTACGGATGTATCGAACGAAGAAAAGGATAAACATAGCAAGTGATGTCCATTTGTAAAGGTAGGAAGAGTAGTTAGTCTAGAAGGGAAGTAGCATGGCATGCAGTGGAGGGCCGACTGGAAGACCCATGCCAAATGATGACAAGTATACAACCAACACAATAGGTTATATGGCCTCGATGTAGGTGACATGAGACATATAACATTGCTTATACTGTGCAAGAATGAAGTGACACTGTGAAATAATGATATAATGTCTAAACAATACTAGAGAGTTTTGCAGGCAGAGTTAGGGCTGTATAGGCTGGTTGGTTTAGGCCTAGTGAGACTAAGTGGTGTAATGAAATGTTGGAAGAAAAATTGTTATATATATATATATATATATATATATATATATCCCCCATGAAGCAGGAAGATACTTATGCAAAACCCAAATGAGGAGCTGAATTGGTCATATTGGGCCACCCACAGAGGACCATATGATGGGAATGTAATAAAGTACGGCCACATGTGAAGGCCACATGTGAAGGCACATAGTACAGCCACATGTGAAGGCATTGGACCCACTGAGCCAAATAAAACAAGGTGTCGGAAGACAGAATCAAAACGGGAACAGAGGCCTCTACAATACCTCTGGAATGCCACTGTGGCTGAACAGGCTAACGGCCGTGATGGCCGTACATAATACATAATAAGAGACAGGAGATATAAGATATACGTTATAAAGACCTACCCATGCAGAATGCTTAGGAGGATGGTAAACACTTATGCATACACAACTGGCATGTAAACTTAGGGTTGAAAGCAACAGCAAATGCTAGAATAATGGTAGAATATCTCAGTAATATTGGCATTAGATATAACTTCATTGCTTAAAGTGAACATGACTCAATGATGTTCCTAATGCATGTAGACCGTACAAAGAAAGTCTGAGTGGGGTTAGCAAGGGAGGGAATGCAAGAGCAGCAGACTAAAGAACTGCAGGTTTAGCAAGCTTGTTTTAGATTATACCCCAATAAAAATTACATAATTAAATTGCATGCATGCTGTCATTTGGGGCATATCTACTAAACAGTGAATTACTAAACAACGTAGGCCCAAAGAGTACCTAAATACCCATAGGGCAGACGAATAAACATAAAAATATAGGGTGACTTACTGAAATGCTTGATACAGTTTTATGAATTTGAGGTCATCTAGTAAGAAGATTTTAGACATTTAGAAGATATTCCCCTTTACAGAGAATAAGGAATTTTACGTTCATGTGTACAGAAAATGCGTATACAAGTTTATATTACTATTTCCTCAAACACATATTTAGGCCCAAGTTTGGGTCAGACATACATTTAGACAGTCAGTTGCAACACCTAGCCACATAATTGTAGGGTGAATAACAAAAGCATGTGATACATTTTATGAGTTTGTTTAGTAAGAGTTTAGACATTTCGAAGATATTCCCCTTTAAAGAGGATAAGGGATAAAGAGGATAAGGGATACAGAGAACATTTTCTCGACCACATATATAGGCCCAAGTTTGGGCCTGACATAAATTTAGACAGTCAGTTGCAACACCTACCCATACAATTACTAAACAGCGTAGGCCCAATGAGTGCCTGAATAGCCAGAGGGAAGACAAATAAAACATTAAATTGTAGGGTGACAAACTGAAATTCATATGATAAAAGTCAATGTAGCCTGAGGGACAAATACAGTAAGCAGAATGAGGCATCGCTGTGATGCTATATAAGTATATATGATTGAAATAGGCTGAATTAGCGTTAGTAGTGAAATTCGCCATATCCGAATGGCTGAACGAACAAACTTATAGTTTTGTAGAAAAAACAACAGTTAAAGAAGCTGTGACTGGGCCGGACGCGGCAGTGCCCCATGAGCTTCTAGTGAGGCGAATGTTGTTTACTAGAGTGAGGTTATGGTAAAATTAATACTTGCGTGGGCTGCTCTAGGCCAAGAACAGCTTATTTGGAGTTTACGTAGTTTATGACCTTTGAACCAGACAGTCTCAGCCCAGAGGAAGGGTCAGACTGTATTTATAGGCCAGAATAACCCCTCCCACAACTACAGGCCCAGCCTTCTATCTTCTATATATATTTTGTATAACTTGTAATATTGTACCCTATTGTAACAATGCAATGTTTTGTGGACCCAGGACATACTTGAAAACGAGAGAAATCTCAATGTATCCTTCCTGGTAAAATATTTTATAAAATAAATAAATAGATAAATGTCATACACAGTGACCTCCCAAATATGAATCACCGCCTCAACATAAACACAACACACAAAGATCACAAGCAGACTCCCTTACATACAATACAACTAACTAGTAGTAACTACCCCACAGGCATACACTGCCAGACTCAGACATTCACACACAAGGATGCTCATCACCAGTAATGGAACTACCGCGGTCGCAGGGGTCTGGATGGTGCCCGCCATGCGAACCCCTGCCAGCTGTTATGTGTTGCGGCCCCGGCCTGCACAGTTTAACCGCCGGGGCCGCATGTTCAGGGGCCAAGCGGGTAGCCCATGCTGTTAGGGCCACCCAATGGAAATGAAAGGGGGAGGGGGGATAGACGTATGAAGGTTGTTTCTAGTTACGCCTCTGTCAGGCACCTACACAGGTACACAATGCTAGCTCCACACACTCAGCTCCCCCTCAATACAGCTCTCAGCCTCTTTCACACACACAACACTCAGCCACTATACACACACACACAGCCCAGTGCTCAATGAAAGCCCCCAAACTGGCACCCTGCCTAGGGCACTGGGCAACCTTAAAGGAGCACTATAGTGCTAGGAAAACAAACCCGTTTTAATCCAGTGCCGTTGACCTCTCCTCCCCCTGCCGACATCAGCTCCCGAGTGGAGCCGAATGCGCATTCAAACTGCCCATAGGAAAGCATTATTGCTTTCCTATAGAGATCTGTATTGCGTGAGTTCAATACAATTTTCTCACTGAGAATCGTGGAGACGCCTCTAGCGGCTGTCAGGGAGACAGCCACTAGAGGCTGGATTAAAAGACCACTATAGTGCCAGAGAAACAAACTCATTTTGCTGGCACTATAGGGTCATTAGGTCCCCCCCACCCTCAGGGCTCCCCTCCCGCTGGGCTGAAGGGGTTAAAACTCCTTCAGCCACTTACCTTTCTCCAGCACCGGGCTCCCTCGGCGCTGGGGAAGTCTCCACCCTCTGCCGACGTCAGCTCCAAATGCGCATGCGCGGCCAGAGCCGCGCACGCATTCAAACCGCCCATAGGAAAGCATTACTTAATGCTTTCCTATGGATGTCCAGCGTCTTCTCTCTGTGATTTTCACAGTGAGAATCGCAGAATCGCCTCTAGCAGCTGTCAGGGAGAAAGCCACTAGAGGCTGGATTAACCCCCAGTTAAACATAGCAGTTTACAACTGCAGGGTTAAAACTAGAGGGACCTGGCACCCAGATCACTTCATTGAGCTGAAGTGGTCTGGGTGCCTATAGTGGTCCTTTAATACGGCTCTGAACTTGGCACTCTGGCTGAAAACTGAGTAGAGCACAGTGAATGCCATGACATGCAGTGAGAGAGAGCACGGCATACAGTGCAGTAGGTGATGGTGGTCATGGCATACAGTGCGGTAGGTGGTCACGGCATGCAGTGCGGTAGGTGAGGGTGGTCATGGCATACAGTGCGGTAGGTGGTCACGGCATGCAGTGCGGTAGGAGAGGGTGGTCATGGCATACCGTGCGGTAGGTGAGGGTGGTCATGGCATACAGTGCGTTAGGTAGTCACGGCATGCAGTGCAGTACGTGAGGGTGGTCATGGCATGCAGTGCAGTAGGTGAGGTGGTCATGGCATGCAGTGCAGTAGGTGGTCATGGCAGGAAGTGGGGTAGGTGGTGGTGGTGGTCATGGCAGTGCGGTAGGTGGTCATGGCAGGCAGTGCGGTAGGTGGTCATGGCAGGCAGTGGGGTAGGTGGTGGTGGTCATGGTCGGTGGTCATGGCAGGCAGTGCGGTAGGTAGGTGGTCATGGCAGGCAGTGCGGTAGGTGGTGGTGGTTATGGCAGGCAGTGCGGTAGGTGGTGGTGGTCATGGCAGGCAGTGCGGTAGGTGGTCATGGCAGGCAGTGCGGTAGGTGGTCATGGCATACAGTGCGGTAGGTGGTGGTGGTCATGGCAGGCAGTGCGGTAGGTGGTGGTGGTGGTCATGGTAGGCAGTGCGGTAGGTGGTGGTGGTCATGGTAGGCAGTGCGGTAGGTGGTCATGGCAGGCAGTGCGGTAGGTGGTCATGTGGCTGGCAGTCTCGCGGTGGAGTGTGATGTGATGGTCATGGCTGGCAGTCACGGTAGGTGGTCATAGCTGGCAGTCGCGGTGGGGTGGTGATGGTGGTCATGGCTACAGCAGTCACGGTAGGTGGTCATGTAGCTGGCAGTCACGGTAGGTGGTGAGTGGTGGTCATGGCAGGCAGTCACGGTAGGTGGTCATGGCTAGCAGTCTGATGAGTGGTGAGTGGTCATATGTAGCAGGCAGTAGTCATTAGATGGTCATGGCTAGCAGTCTGATGGAGTGGTGATATAGTGGTCATAGCTGGCAGTGCGGTAGGTGGTCATAGCTGTAGCAGTCTGGTAGGTAGTGAGTGAGTGAGTCATGGCAGGCAGTCACGGTAGGTGGTCATGGCTGGCAGTGCGGTAGGTGGTGGTGGTGGTCATGGCAGGCAGTGCGGTAGGTGGTCATGGCTGGCAGTGCGGTAGGTGGTGATGGTGGTCATGGCTGGCAGTGCGGTAGGTGGTCATGGCTGGCAGTGCGGTAGGTGGTGGTGGTCATGGCTGGCAGTGCGGTAGGTGGTCATGGCAGGCAGAGTGGTAGATGGTCATGGCTGGCAGTGTGGTAGGTGGTGGTGGTGGTGGTCATGGCATACAGTGCGGTAGGTGGTCATGGCTGTCAGTGCGGTAGGTGGTCATGGCTGGCAGTGCGGTAGGTGGTCATGGCTGGCAGCGGTTATGGTGGTGGTCACATGGCTGGTAGTGCGCGGTAGGCGGTCATGCTGGTGCGCGGTAGGTGGGGGGTGGTCATGGCTGGCAGGTAGGTGGTGGTCGGCGCAAGTAGGCAGTGCGGTAGGGTGGTCAAGTGGTAGGTGGCGCGGAAGGTCATGGTTGGCAGTGCGGTAGGGTGGTGGTGGTGGCTCGCGGCAGGCAGTGCGGTAGGTGGTCATGGGCTGGCAGCGGTAGGTGGTGGTGATGGTGGTCGGCTGGCAGCGGTAGGTGGCTTCCATGGGTGCGCGGTAGGTGGTGGTGGGTGGTCGGCAGGCGCAGTGCGGTAGGGTGGTCATGGCTTCGGTGCGCGGTGGTGCGGTGGCTCGCGGCTGGTGGTGCGTAGGTGGTCAGTGGCTGGCAGTGCGTAGGGTGGTGGTGATGGTGGTCATGGCTGGCAGTGCGGTAGGTGGTCATGGCTGGCAGTGCGGTAGGTGGTGGTGGTCATGGCTGGCAGTGCGGTAGGTGGTCATGGCAGGCAGAGTGGTAGATGGTCATGGCTGGCAGTGTGGTAGGTGGTGGTGGTGGTGGTCATGGCATACAGTGCGGTGGTGGTCATGGCAGTGCGGTAGGTGGTCATGGCTGGCAGTGCGGTAGGTGGTGGTGGTGGTGGTGGTCATGGCAGTGCGGTAGGTGGTCATGGCTGGCAGTGCGGTAGGTGAGGGAGGGGGAAGCCCCGCACATGCGCAGTCCCCGGCCCGGCCAGCTGTCACTTGTTGTTATACGGAGCCGGTTGGAGCAGCTCTCACAGTCACCACCCCGGCCTCTCCAGACTCAGCACTGCGGGCCGGACCCGCTCTCCCCGGACACTGACCGCCCTCGGAGCCCGCCACCCCCCGCCCGGCCAGGCTGTGTCCGCGGTAGATGAGCCCCTGGCAGGCTGCCTAGCGGTAACACACAGCTTCCACCGGGACAATGGGCCTCCTCCGCCCGCTGGGCCTCCTGCTGCTGGTGCTATGGCCTCAGGTATGGACCGCACTGGGTCACACAGAGCCACGGGGGACTCGGCACTGGCCCATGGCTTCACTGCCTGCTACCCCCAGCCTGGGGAGGGATGGGGTGTTAGAGCTGCCCGGTGCTGCCATTGTGTCTGCCTTTCCTGGCAATGGATCCTTCTTCATGATATCAGCGTTATACAGAGCTTCATAGGGAGCTTTATACAGAGTTTCATAGGGAGCTTTATACAGAGCTTCATAGGGAGCTTTATACAGAGTTTCATAGGGAGCTTTATACAGAGCTTCATAGGGAGCTTTATACAGAGCTTCATAGGGAGCTTTATACTGAGCTTCATAGGGAGCTTTATACAGAGCTTCATAGGGAGCTTTATACTGAGCTTCACAGGGAGCTTTATACAGAGCTTCATAGGGAGCTTTATACAGAGCTTCATAGCGAGCTTTATACTGAGCTTCATAGGGAGCTTTATACAGAGCTTCATAGGGAGCTTTATATTGAGCTTCATAGGGAGCTTTTATAGAAAGCAGGGAGCTTTAAACAGAGACTAATAGGGAGCTTTATATAGGATTAATAGAGAGCTTTATACAGGGGAGGGGGCTTTATACAGAGAATAATATGGAGCTTTATTATTATTATTATTGCTAAGGTTTTAGCTAACCTTGTTAAGGAATGCTGTTTGTTACACGTTCATTGTCAAACGAGGAAACACACAAGGTGTATTGTTGACATTTCTGTTCCAATCCTTTTCTGAGCTATTGTAACGATCACATCAACTCTCCAATCAGACTAACTGCGAGATCTCTAATCTCTATTATTTTATTAGACATTATATAAACATAGAGCGTTTCCATGACTCTATATAGTGTCCATATTACTGCCAGTTCTTACTTTTACACATCTGTGTACCCTCTCCAAGCTGCCAAATACCCTCCCACTATTGCCCACTCCCTGTTTACATTTTTTTTTGTCTCACAGAGCTCTTCATACTCATTCTCAGCTGTTTACTGCTAAATACACTGTTTAATTCCCTAGCATAATCTATCTTCTCACTCTAATGTGTGTGTATGTATGTGTGTGTATGTATGTGTGTGTATGTATGTGTGTGTGTGTGTGTGTGTGTGTGTGTGTGTGTGTGTATATATATATATATATATATATATATACCGCTCCATATAAATCTATCCTGTAGTTCTCTGGGAAGTCCCTCTTTTAATCAAGCTGAAACAGAAAGTTACTATGTGTGATGACATGGAAGGAAAATGTGACTGTTGATCTCTTTTATTTTGTTCTCTTTTCCAGTATAATGTCAGGAGTATCTCATGTAGGGCAACATTGCAGTGTATATTTTTTTATTTATTGTTTTAAAATTCATTATTTTTGATGTGCAGCAAGATAACATGTATAGTGTACATATTCAAGATAATAAATCACATACGGTTATCCAGCAAACAATACAAGGAAACCGCACTTTTTTTTTTTTTTTACACGAAAAATATAACAAAAGTTACTCAATGCATAAAAATTGCCATAAAGAGTGAGTAAATATATATATTAGATGCTTAGACAGGCTATAGTAAATATAAACAGGCTTGTTACAGATATACTATTGGAGTATAGTAATGAAATTTACCACACCTGGTTATAGAACGTTAAGGTGCCACACCACTCCCAAACAGAGAGAAAATAAGGAAAACTAAAACTAGATGCATGGCTTTAAAACATAGGTTAAGTGTGAACTCGGGCAGAAGTGCTGTGAGCATATTCAGCCAACTCCCTTAGGTGGCAATGCTGTTACTCCATCAGGAAAAACATCACTTCGAGACAGGGTGTCCCTACAGCCCTGGGCCTGCAGGAGGGCCGGCATCTGTGTACCACAGACTCTGGTTCTTATTGTGACCAAGTCTATCCCCTTCATGGGGAGGTAGGAGGATTTAGGTGTCAGTCAGCGCCGTCTGCGGGGATTCCTCCGCCTGTGTGGGCGATGCTGGGAGGTCATGCCTCGGGTGACCTTCAAGCCAGGTAGGTGAGTATGAGATTTTGTTAGCCGCTTTCTAGTTGCGTTATCCTGAGGAGGCCTTTCTGCCTCTGGGCGGTTGGTTCCCTTCTTTCCCTGCCGGAGTCTGATCTTGCTGGCTGTGTTGTGTGCATGAAGTTTGAGCCAGAGCTGTTGAAATTGCTTGTCGAGTCAGGAAGAGAGTGATAGAGTCGTGGAGTGTCTCCTTTGTTGAACTCCACACCATGTGCGTCAGAGTGGAAGACAGTTGCCATCTTTAGATGCCTGAGGTTGAAACTGAATCTGCTCTGCTGGAGCGGTGAGGCTGAATCTAACAGCTTTAGATAGTCCAGGGGGGGACCGGAATAACCCACACTGGTCCAAGGGGGTGGGGTGGTAGGAGTGCCATAGATCAGGGCCTCGAGTAAAAGCACGAAGAGATCGCCGCCTTTCCCCAGCTTCACTCACGTTTAGCCGCAGCAGGCTTGCACGGGCACCCACTGTCGTAGATTCTCAGAAAAGGTTTCAATCCGCATGCCCGGGAGCCCCTGACACGGGAAATATTATATGGTCAGTGTGAGAGTGTGATGGTTTGATTAATACTTATAAGTCTGCTTATGTTGCAGGAGCCCAGACACCACTCGGCTCCTCCCCTCTGCAGTGTTTATTTGATTTAGTTAATCTACGAATCACCAATGTGATATTTTTAATAGTATGCTTTTTTCTTTTTTTACGTAATATTTACTGAATATGCAATGTTCGCATGTTTTAAGCCTTCCCACCTAAACATAATTTTATAGTATGCAAATTTATTGGCTACAGTATATATTTGTGAATGTAAGTTACAAGTTTAAATTTTGAGTGATGGAATTCCGGTTGCTGTTAATGAATTTAACCTAATATTGTTGACCCCTCTCCTTTTGACTCAATCCGCCACATTTTAGAGGTTATATTTATTTATATAGCGACCAATAATATGTGATTGCAGTTCCCTAGAATTTCATTACAGGGTTATTCACTTTCGTAAAAATACAAAGTGAATTTCAAATTCAAAACCAGATTACCCAAACTAAATGCATAACTGAGAGAATGTTTTGACCTGAAATTTTAAATCTACCTTGAATTCTCACTTTATTGATTAACCCTGTTAGTATTTATTAGATAACTACTGTCCTGGATGGTAAAGCTGTACATTAAAAACAATACACAGGACATTTTACACAGAAATTGAAGAAAGAAGTGTGCTGCTGGTTAACCTCTTGGCCTCATTAGAACATTGTGGTTAACCGCAGACGCCTCTTAATTGACAACTGTATGCTGGGTGGTCGTCGTTCGTATGCCGACCACGAGGCAGTGGCCATCTTGGACAAATGAACAGCGGTGCTCATCGACGATTTCCTGGAACCCAAAACGGACACTTTTTTTCTCCCGAACACAGCTGAAGCCGCCGACTTCCCTTCTTAGTCATCTAGCATACGAACGCCGGTCCGTTCGGGATTTTTATTACACAAATGGACTTAACCCAGACAGCCATCCCATGGAGCCATTCGTATACCGAAATAACAGTGTGAAAGAATTTGTCTCCATGGCGATTGGACTGTGTGTATTGGATCTGAGCGCCATTCGGTAAGAATGTGCGCTCAGATCTAGGCTGTCTGGGGATACATTAAATGTATTGAATGCATGTCTAGGGGAGTGTCCACCAGGTGAAAGACCTGCGTAAATACCGGGCAAGTAGCCCTCAATAAATCAGAATCCTGTTTTACCCTCTATATGGAGCTTGGTCTCGTGATTGGGGGGATTGCTACTTTGGAGTATTATTTTTGCCTGTTCCAGGAGAGAAGGAGTTCATATGTTTCCCATTCGGTGGGTTAGAGCGTTCGTGAGTTGCTGTTCCCTTGTAAAGGTGAATCCCCGAATCGGTATTAACCCTCACTATACCGGGTTATACCGTAACAGGGGCATTGTCTCAAATTAGTCTAGGGACACCGTCTTAAAGGGGCATTGTTCCCAAAAGTCACAGTATGTCCCCAGATGGTTCTTAAAGGGCCAGCAGCAGCGTAATAAATTACAATATGCCCAAATACTGTATTTAAAGGGCCAAATGTCCCAGTGGCCATAGTCAGCAGGCAGGAGGCGGGCAAACAGGCTTCTCCAATGCCCAGTGGCGAGTTTGGTTTCGCCACATTCAATTTGCCAGACACTACTGGTCCGTTGTAACCAAAATAGGGCTTTTTAGCAATAAACACACCAGAAGTGAGTTTGGCACACAGAGAGGTAGTTATATGGAAAAGTACCTTGTGCCCACTGTTAAATATGGTAGTGGCACTTTTATGTTTTGGTTTTTTTTTT